GTGTGTCATAGACGTGCATTGTGAAGTATAGTGTTGTCATTGGCAGCTCAATGACCGACAGGTTGATTCAGACAGTTGTAAGGTGTTGACTTATGAGAGAAGTCATGGTGGTATATTAACATCTCATTGTTGGGTTTCTTATTAGCGGACTTATGTTCGTTTTAGGATGAGGTTTCGTGTGATCTCTCCCTCTATATTACCTATGTCATAATTGTGTGCCTACTAGACTAGCTATGTTGGTAGCTGATAGATGGCTTGAATATTTTCAGGACTAATGATAATACTTGGGTTGTTGATGACCCATAGTTTTTTGGATTGACATAGGGGTATGGGTATGTTAGTTGAAATGCCAAGAGATTAGTGATGCGATGGTGATAAGTCTTTAGGATGTTTTAACAGATGGTTGTGCACCTGAGCTGTTGTGGGAGTTTAAGTGTCGCATAGGGTTTTCTATTAACCATGGTTATGCTCGTGGTAAACGTTGGTTAGTTACGACTTTCCAGGAAGTCAAGTGTATATTTGAGAACATTTATGCGGTTTCCAAATTTAGGTTGGGTTGGAATTCTTTATCGAAATGTTTTGAGTGTTGATATGTTTTTTAGGGGTATTCCTGATCAGGGACTTGGGGTAAGAATGATGAGTGGATGATCCTCATCCGTTATGGATGTCTTTAGAGTTGGACTATTGGACTCCTAATTTTGTGTAGTACATTCAAGGACATTGTTAGAAGATATAGTTATGGAAGTTCCTGTTTAAGTGGCTATGAGTTGGTTCTTACCGTGTGGAGAAAGAGGTAGTTGTTGCAATTGAGTGCTCCAAATGTCTGGGTGGTTTGTTGGAATCCGTTGGGTTACGGATGGCCTCTCAAGTTTGATATCGATGTATTGATTATGTTAAGTGGTTGGAGGTAGCATATGGATTGTGTTAGTGCAGTTTAAATTCTAACCACATAATATTTTGAGGGCGAAATCTAATTTAATTGGGGGAAAATTATAACACCATATTCCAAAACAAATTAACTTTTTCCATTTCTACGTGTATTGTTTGTTTCTATATGTATTTCACACGGGTCGTGTAGCTTACGACGTTACGGAGTCAATGGCATGACTTTTAGGAAAAATGGGTGTCACGCATGACCATTAGGAGGTTGTAAGGTGACACGTGTAAATGTGAGTCACGATGTGACATTATGAACCTCACGTAGTGAGCCTGGTTGCAGCCAAGCCCATGAATTTTAGGGTTTTCTCCATATTTAAGGAACTTCTCTCATAACCTTGGGTGAGTAACCAAGATTCAAGATTTATGGACCTTTGTGAGTAACCAAGATTCAAGATTTATGATTTCTTTTTGCTCGATCTAGGGTTCTATGCATGATTATCCATGGTTAGATGAGTTAGAGTGTTGGGACACCATAAATTTAGTAACTTTATGGGTCCTTCGAGTCCCTTGATGATTATATGTGGTGGATCTGAACTTTATGTGATGTTTGAGCCCATCCTTGAGGTTTTAACCTGCTTTTCTTGATAAATTCCCTAATTTGAATGCAAGCCTTGCATTGGACATGCAAGACCTTAAAGCATCGATTTTTATGACTTTTGAGGTGTTAGGATGCCTTCTGGAGGATATGGATTAGTGGAATAATGGATTAAGGGGTTTTACTCATGTAAATGTCATTTAGACAATTCTCACGACATGATGTTATGTCGTGAGGATCGAAGGACGACGATTATTTTGTCTTGAGTAAATTACACGAATGGTACCTATGGTTTGGGGTAATTTGCGTGCTTGGTCTATAACTTATTTTTTTAACTCGGAAGGTCCAAATTGTTTGTTTTTGTTACACACTTGGTCCCTAGTGTTTGTTTTTGTTACGTCATTTGTCCTGTCTTACATAAAACGACTATTATTTAAATAGGGAAAAATGGTGGTGTAGGTAAGGTAATGTGAGGGGGTAGAATTGGGGTGTCTTTATTTAAATAAATTTAAAAAAAATTAAGGGCAAAATAGTATTTTTTTTTTTTTAGTTAAGATAGGAACCAAGCGTGTAACAAAAACAAACAATAGGATTTTCCTAGTTAAAAAAATAAGTTAGGGACCAAACGTGTAAATTACCCTAAGCCATAGGGATCGTTCATTTAATTTACTCTTTTGTCTTTGAGCGGCTTATGATGTGACCCATAGATTTTCACGTCGTGAGAGGTAGTTGACCCGTTGACCGTTCACTTTTGGCATGTTTGACTTTAAGTCAAACTTGAAGGAGTTGGGCTATTGATTGATGTTCTGTCATGTTTCTTGTGTTAGAAGGTTTGTTGGATCATGTAGTGTAGAAAAGGGAGAGTGTCGCGGTGTTTATAGATTCTTCGATTCAGGTGAGTTTTCCTCACTATACCCGTGGGTCAAAGGCACCAATGTCGGCCCACTAGATTTGGCTATGTATTTATATCCTTATGTGGTAGGATGCAGTAGTAGTGGTATGTTGGTTAGAGTATCAGTAGGCTGATTATCATCTGGTTGTGGCTGTAGAGTAGGATCATCTATTCGGGTAGCTATCCCACCTTTAGTTACTTATGGCTGTGCATTCCATGGAGATTTTCTGGTAGCAGAGTAGTGTGTTGTGAGGGGTCTAGTAGGCGGTAGTGAGTTGTATGATTGGTAGTTTCCGATATTTATATTCCTACACGATCTGTTGATTGTTTATATGTCGACATATTGTAGCAATTAGGTTGAGGTAGCAGGCCAATAAACCCGGAGAGCGGTTGGGTTGAAGCAGCATGCCAACAAACCTAAAGAATGGTTGGGTTAAGGCAGCGGGGAAACAAACCTAGTATACATGTTGTATATATGTATTTATTGTGTACGGTATGTTGGAGGAACTCACGAAGCTTCATGCTTACCCAATTGTTATTGTTTTCAGGTATCATCAGTGATCATAGAAAGACGAAGGTGTGACTGTACACATTCAGGAGTAGCAATGAAGATTTCATATTTACTATAATACTTCGAGTTTAATTAATTTATTTTGGAACAATTGATTTTCTTAACTTAAACTGAATATCAAGAAAATTAAACTATTTTGGCCTTTATGTAATGGTAGTAAGTTTCGTGAGGGGTATTGCATGTCAACATTCAGAGGCCATTATTAGGGGTGAAGATTCTTGGGGGAGCTATTAGTTAGGATGTGTTGTTTATTAGTGGCTTAGCTATGAAGAAACTTGCCAACATTGTTGTTTCTATGCCCCTTCTCTAGATAGGTTTGATGTTATGGGATGAGTTCCTTTTGCTTTGATCTCGCATGGGTATTGCCAAACTATTCATTGGCTTGAGTGTGTGCTAACTCGTTCACATGTAGGAAGCAACAATGCTCTTTGATAAAAGATGTCATGTGTCGATTGTGGATATGGTTGTTTGTGGAGTTCTTTTCTATGAGGACATCCAATAGCAACTTGCTTCATTAATATTAGGTTTGATGCTCTAGGGTTATACTCAATGGTAGAAGCATCCTCATATGCTTTTGTGACCTCACATGCTTAATCATCCGTCTTGTAAGAGCACATCTTATGGGATAATGACATATGTGCTATGATTTTTTATTATGTTTGTGCTTTGGTTTTTCTTTGTGATACAATTTCAGCTTTGACTTTAGTAGTTTCACTAATAATGACATTATCCCTCCTAAATCCCAACATGTGTTGGCGAGTGCCTTTTTAATAAAATTGCCAAAGACATGATTTTTAAGTGTCTCCAAACACCACATGCTTAATATTTTCTTGTGACATTCCTATTGATGGCCTTGGCTAACATATGCTACCGTTGGAGTATCATACTATCCTCAAGTATCACCTTAAGATCACATTATTTCTAGTTGATAGGATATATCTTATTTGTCGTTTGGAGAGACCACAATACGTCGTAGAGATCTCTCGGGTTTCAAGTATAAACACAATTTGGTTAGGGACGTTATTTTTCTATTTTTTGGCATGTCAATGTTTCAGCCAAGAAAATGGCACCTGTTAACTTCATGATTGACCGTTTGGATGGTAGATCAATGCTTAACCGACTAATGTTTTGATTTTTGGATGTGTAGGATTGAAACATGCATGTGTGGATCTAGCAAAAGTTTCCCTCTTACGGCCTTGGGCAGTGAAGCTTTCACTGTAGGGCAGACCACTTTAAAATTTGTCTCATACAAAGTGTCAAAACAAGAGAAAACGTGCATTGCAATTCAACACACGTTTATACCTTTCCCATTAGATAATTTTGGTTTTTTGCACCAGATGTTGTGGAGCTCATGATTGGAGTCCAACGGATCATACATAGTAATGTTGTGATCCCAGATCTAGTATGTGATTTTCAAAAAAAATAGTTCTACTATTCGAAAAAGGGTTGCCGTGCAACTTATGACTCTGTTATGTCTATATAAAACTTTTATTAAGATCTTTATTTAAAACTTTAAACTAAAAAAAAAATAGAACTTATATACCAAAAGCTTAGGACCTAATCTAACTAAAACTTTTGAAGGACTTACTTAATAGATTTAGACAAAAAAAAATGAGAGGTATAACTATAGACAAAGGAAAACGTAGTACGACATTAGTCTCACATCCGCTCCATAAAGAAAATGGTGGATGGTTTATAAATCACACTTCTACATTTTTTATACGTGAATAAGGAACCAGTCAGGTTGAACTTGATTTTCTCATGAACCAAACAAGTTGAACTTGGATTTCTCATGAACCAACCCAGTTGAACGTGATTAAAGAATAAGCAACCAGATATTCACTGAACGAGACATCTTAGAATATAAAACAAAACAAATGAACTGAAAGCGGCACAAGATGTTGAGGATAAGAATAGGTTTCAAAATGTCAAAGCCAATGAAAGCTTGGTCCCAGCTCCTAACCACCCAACCAATCTGCAATAAATCTTCATCTGCATAAATCCTTCCATAAATAGAGGAATATTACCACAATGGTTCTTCATCCTTCTTCCATATAGTTTCTTTCTGAATATATTTTCTTTCTGAAACACGTCAAAATGTCTTCGAAGACTTTCCTTCTTCTTGCACTTGCTCTGGCCATTCTTTTCATTAGCTCCGAAATGGCTGCAGCTAAAGACCTGGAGTCCAACAATGACAGTGAGTAAATTTAATGTTCTTAATTAGATGAAATTGGCTTTTTGTACAGGATGTTTCCTTTAGAATTCTATACATGGATTCATGCAATAAAATGTTCATTACAGAAATGATGATTGATATATGCAGGTCAGGTAGAAGATGCAAAATATGGTGATGATGACCGTGGATACAACGGTGGTGGAGGATACAACAATGGTGGTGGAGGTTACAACAATGGTGGTGGAAGATACAACAATGGTGGTGGAAGTTACAACAATGGTGGTGGAAGATGTTATTATAATTCTGAGTTTAGTAAGCTTTATTAAGTTTTATTTATTTATGCACGTTTTAATAGTTAGCAAGAATAAATCAAAGCCATGTAGGCTATGCAGTCCTGGTCTCTAGCTTAGTGGAAGTTAGTTCCTATTTTTGTGTAAGTTTTTGTTTAAATAGATTAGCTGTGTACGTGACCTGTGTGTCACTTTCTCTCTTATGAAGTTCAATAAGAAAAGTTTTTAAAGCTTTGGTATACTCTGTCCCCTGTTTAGATTACCAAAAAGACATACATTCCAGTTTTGCCCTTCTCTGCTATTACTATATTCTGTCCCCTGTGAGAATCCCTTTTCTGTCCCTGTTTCTATTTTGGTGCAAAGTCCCTGTTGTTATTACCATATTCTAACACTTGGTATCAGAGCGAATCTGGTGGTGTATGCCAAAATATCAATCTCGAGAAGAGATGACGAGTGGTACTAACAATGGAAATGGTGAGAAAGATGGGAATGTTACCCTGCACTATCCGATGTTGTCAAGAACCAATTATGGTGCATGGGCGATTAAGATGAGGGTTTTCATGTTGGCCCAAGGTGTCTGGGACGCGGTGGAGCCCAGAACAGCGAATACCCTTGTTGAAACAAAGAAAGACAACATGGCCTTAGCCGCAATCTATCAGGGTATACCTGAGGACTTGCTACTGGTCCTAGCAGAGAAGAAGACAGCGAAAGAGGCTTGGGAAGCTCTCAAAACAATGTTTGTAGGAGCAGAGAGGGTAAAGACTGCAAAAATCCAAACCCTAAAGGCCGAGCTTGAAGCCATCAACATGAAGGAGTCAGAAAGTATCGATGAGTTTACAGCAAAAGTAACAGGTGCAGTCAGCTCAATACGCACTCTTGGTGAGAAAATTGAAGAAGCCTATGTTGTGAAGAAGCTACTAAGGGCAGTCTCGTCAAAATTCATTCAACTGGCATCCACTTTGGAGCAGTTTGGTGACCTGGAAACGATGAGTGTTGAAGAGGTCATAGGAAGGCTAAAAGCACATGAAGAAAGATTAAAGGGCCGTGAAGATCAAGATGATCGGAAATTACTCCTGACTCACCAAGAATGGTCAGAAAGAAGGAAGAAGGGAGGAGAATCAATGACCAAACCAGGTCGTGGAGGATCTGGTAGCTCACGAGGCAGAGGCAGAGGAAGAGGTCGAAATGGAGGTCGTGGTGGTCGTGGTAGAGGCGACTACAGTTACCAGAAAGGATCAAGCTCCGGTGGTTCAAACAATCAGGATAAAAGCAAAGCCCAATGTTACAATTGTCAGGATTTTGGACACTATGCAGCAGAGTGTAAAAATCCTAGAAAAGAGAGAAATCATGAAAGTAACTTGATTTTAGAAGACGATGAACCAGCTCTCCTGTTGACGTCCCTTGAAGAGAAAAGTGAGACGGGGGAAGTATTCCTGAACGAAGAAAGCTTGAAACCAGAGTTAAGATCAAAAGGGGGATGTCTGAATCAGTCAAAAATGTGGTATTTGGACTGTGGTGCTAGTAACCATATGACTGGTGACAGAGAAAAATTTCAAACTTTGGACAAGAACATTCGTGGAATGGTGAAATTCGGAGATGAGTCCAAGGTGAAAATTGAGGGGAAAGGGACTATTGTATTCCAGTGCAAGAACCGAAAAGAAAGAAGCCTGAAGGATGTGTATTACATTCCTGATCTCTGCAGTAACATTATAAGTCTCGGTCAACTGTCGGAAGGAGGAGACGAGATAAAGATCAAAGAACCGTTTTTGTGGGTACATGACAAAGGTGGAAAGCTGTTAATGAAGGTAAAGAAGTCTCCGAATCGACTCTATAAAATTGAGCTGAAAGATGTAAGTTCAAAATGTTGTATGGTTGAACTGAGCGATCCCACGTGGCTGTGGCACACGAGACTGGGCCATGTAAACTTTGGATCACTGAAGATCATGACAGAAAAAGGGTTGATACAGGGACCTCCCAAAACGATGATTCCATCTAAACCCTGTGAGGGTTGTCTTGTAGGGAAGCAATCAAGAATCCCATTCCCAGCAAGCACTAGCTACAGAGCAGAAAGAAAGCTTGAACTGGTCCATGGTGATTTGTGCGGACCAATCTCTCCACCAACACCTGCAGGTAATAGATACTTCATGCTGTTAGTAGACGATTACAGCAGGGTAATGTGGGTCCATCTGATGAAAACGAAAGACGAAGCTTTCAACATCTTCAGAAACTTTAGAAGCAAGGTGGAGATCGAAACTGGTGAAAAATTAAAAATCCTGAGAACAGATCGTGGTGGCGAATTCTTGTCAAATCAATTCACCAAATATTGCAGCGAGACTGGTTTAGAACGACATTTCACCTCACCCTACTCGCCACAGCAGAACGGAGTAGTGGAAAGGCGGAATAGAACTGTTCTTGAGATGGTCAGGAGCTGCTTAAAGACGATGAGAGTACCTGATGTGCTATGGGGTGAAGCTGTGAGCCACGCGGTGTATGTTCTGAATCGATTAAGCACCAAAGCATTGAAGAATGCTACACCCTATGAACTGTGGACTGGAAGGAAACCACAAGTAAGTCATCTAAGAGTTTTTGGGTGCGTAGCTCACATGAAAGTGATGAAAGGGCATCTAGACAAGTTAGAAGATCGAAGTAAGAAGGTAGTGTATCTGGGGAATGAAAAGGGATCCAAGGCTCACAGATTACTCGACCCAGAAACGGGAAAGATGTATATTAGTCGGGATGTGATCTTCGAAGAGAACCGAAGATGGGAGTGGGAGAACACTTCAAAGATCAAGACGGTGCCAGGAATGACATTTACAGTTGAAGGTTTTAATTTTGACCAAGAATTTCTTGGCGATGATGATAAATGGGGACCCGACAACCCACAACAACAAGATGGGCCATCGTCAACTAATGCGTCTTGGGCTCCTGGAAACCCACAATCAAATAATGACAATTTGAGCCCACAACCTTCAATCTCATCCGGGTACCCACATACACCAGTTACACCCGACAGCCTTATTACCCCAAATTTCCCAAACACTCCGATACCACACCAAACACCATCACCAGTTAATTTCGGTTCTCCAAGCACTGCATCAAGCTCCACTGGTGGGGGAGCTCCCAAACGATATCGTTTGATCACCGATTTGCTCGAGAACACTGAAGAAATTGAATTACCTCCAGAAGAATTGTTGATGGTGAGTAATGATGAAGAACCCACAAGATATACTGATGCAAGTCGGAAGAAGGAATGGGTTCAGGCAATGAATGCAGAAATCACCTCAATTGAAAAGAACAACACGTGGCATTTAGTAGAACTTCCAAGAAATCGAAGACCAATTGGGTTAAAGTGGGTCTTCAAGGTGAAACGGGATCCAGAAGGAAAGATCTTAAAACATAAAGCAAGAATTGTAGCTAAAGGCTACATACAAAAGCATGGGGTAGATTACGATGAAGTATTCGCTCCTGTGGCTCGAATTGAAACGGTTCGAGTGATCTTGGCTTTAGCTGGCACGAATGGTTGGAAAGTCCATCATCTTGACGTAAAATCAGCATTTCTAAATGGGAAATTGGAGGAAGAAGTATACGTCACACAACCAGAGGGATTTGAGAAGAAAGGTCAAGAACACAAAGTTTTCAAACTATCGAAGGCTCTCTATGGGTTGAAGCAGGCACCCAGAGCATGGAATGCATGTCTGGATGCGTATTTGAAGAATCTGGGTTTCAAAAGGTGTCCTCAAGAATATTCAGTATACACAAGAGAGAAGAATGGAAATACTCTAATCATTGGAGTATATGTTGATGACCTATTGGTGACCGGGAGCGCCTCTAATGATGTAGAAGATTTCAAGAAAGAGATGAACGCGAAGTTTGACATGAGCGATCTTGGTCTTCTCTCCTACTATCTGGGTATTGAGGTAAGTCAATTCAATAACCATATCTCCCTGAGTCAAAAGGCTTATGCTCGTAACTTGCTAGTCAAAACGCGCATGATTGACTGCAACCCCACCAAAAGCCCCATGGAACACAAGTTACGACTAACCAGAGAAGGAGATGGTGATCTTGTAAATCCCACTGAATACAGGAGTATAGTGGGTGGACTCAGGTATTTGACTCATACCCGTCCAGACTTATCATACGCTGTGGGCGTGGTAAGTCGCTTTATGGAAAAACCTACCAAGATTCACCTTCAAGCTGTAAAAGGGATCCTTAGGTACATAAAAGGCACAATGGACTATGGTTTAGTCTATTCCAAAGGTGAAAAACAGATCACCATTGAAGGATACTCAGATAGTGACCATGCTAAGGATGTGATTGATAGAAGAAGTACAGGTGGTATGGCGTTCTATGTAAATGGAAACTTAGTGTCTTGGTCATCGCAAAAACAGAGGTGTGTAGCCCTGTCTTCATGTGAGGCGGAATTCATGGCTGCCACCACAACAACATGTCAAGGAATTTGGTTAAGGAAGCTCTTGACAGAAATAACAAGTCAACACATCCCACCAGTTACAATGTATGTGGACAACAAATCAGCCTTGGAACTAATGAAAAACCCTGTGTTTCATGGGCGCAGTAAGCATATTGATATCAGATTCCATTTCATCAGGGAATGTGTTGAAAATGGAGAGATCGTGGTGAATCATATCGATGGAAAAGTGCAAAAGGCAGACATGCTTACAAAGGCATTAGCCAGAGTGAAGCATGAAGAAATGTGCAGGATGATTGGCATAAAAGGAATTGGAGCTCAGAATTAAGGGGGAAAATGTTATTATAATTCTGAGTTTAGTAAGCTTTATTAAGTTTTATTTATTTATGCACGTTTTAATAGTTAGCAAGAATAAATCAAAGCCATGTAGGCTATGCAGTCCTGGTCTCTAGCTTAGTGGAAGTTAGTTCCTATTTTTGTGTAAGTTTTTGTTTAAATAGATTAGCTGTGTACGTGACCTGTGTGTCACTTTCTCTCTTATGAAGTTCAATAAGAAAAGTTTTTAAAGCTTTGGTATACTCTGTCCCCTGTTTAGATTACCAAAAAGACATACATTCCAGTTTTGCCCTTCTCTGCTATTACTATATTCTGTCCCCTGTGAGAATCCCTTTTCTGTCCCTGTTTCTATTTTGGTGCAAAGTCCCTGTTGTTATTACCATATTCTAACAGAAGATACAATAACGGTGGTGGACGATACAACGGTGGTGGCCGTGGAGGAGGATATTGCAGATATGGTTGCTGTGGTGGTGGACGTTACTACAATGGAGGGTGCAGGTGTTGTAGCACTTCTGCAGAGGCAACTGCATACAAACAAGCTCATGAGGCCCAAACTCACAACTGAGATAAGCATTTAAGCTCTATTTCACTATGTGTAGTATACACAGGCCTTAGTGCTTATGTTTAATAACTGTGGTTGTATGGTTTTCTGTTGAAGTGTGAACTTAATAGTTCTATAAAGGAAATATTTAGACACCCATGTATGTTGGAGTGTACTCCTTTGTTTCTAATAAAACATAGCAGAGACTATGTTCTATATATAAATGTGAGTTTTAGGTTATTGTTATTTGAATATGAGTTTTAGGTTACAAGACAAAGGAGAATAAAACAAGGATTTATATGATAAAATATAAACTAAAATAAAACAATACAAGAAAATGAAAGGATAAAAATTCTTAACAGACCTAGATCTATTATATTCAAGCAACACATAAAAAAAACAATACAAACACTTTTGAAATACAAATGAAATATGCGAATACGGAAATTAAAATAAGAGACAAGACAGTAGCGGCGACTTTTTGATCAATACCGACAAAACAGTAGCGGCGACGTGACGCCGGTAAAGCTATTAGCGGCGACTTTTGTCGCTGCTAATACCCTTTTTTCTTGTAGTGAGAGAATAAGAGAGAAGATGAAAACGAGAGGATCGTTTTTATTACCAAGAGAACTATTATAGATTCTAAAAAGTTGGTAATGACTTTACAACGTAGTAGCTTCAAGGTTTGTATTTGCGGTCAAAATTTTACAGGTTGCATTAACTTTTATATATATATATATATATATATATATATATATATATATATATATATATATATATATATATATATATATATATATATATATATATATATATATATATATACTAGAAAATACATTTTTTATATTAGTTATATACAAAATAATCATATTAGATCACGTTCTACAAATTACATGGTTGACATGGTTACTAAGTCTCGTAAGAGTTGCAACTTTGATGTTGCCGACAAAGTCCTTACATGTTCTAACTTGGAGTTCATATACATATGCATATATTACATATCTAGCTAGTCGCTATATTTTGCAATAATATTTATACATAACTCTATAATATGTAATAGTTAATGCTCCTGTCGGTTAAATTTAATTTGTTTTAAATTTACCGGCAAAACAATTATGAACACTAGTAGTCAACATTAAATATATATAAAACCAATATCAACATTTAAATAACGAGAGAACTTCCACCTTTTAACATTCCCACTCAATCTTGACATTGAAGCATGTTATCAACGATCTTCGACAGTTCGACTATTTGCAAATAAACTAATTATTCTTACAAACTACCCCACATTTAACTCTCCACATACTGTCTTCATTTCCAACTCAAGTTGATTTCCCATTTATTATCTTGAGTTTGAGGGGATGCTGGATGTATACATAGGATTCTGATTATTTCGTTGAATTCAGGACCTGCTTGTAATAAAACAGAGCCTGCCTAATGATACGAGTAGAAGACGGTATTCTAGACCACCCCCATGGCCTGATCCAACATCAATGAAGGTTGACCCAGTCAATTGTTGAACAAGTCTTCCACTCCAAGCATTAACTGCATTAGAATAGTTTGCGCTCATTCATGCATGCATTATTTCCCGATTTATAGAGTAGTGGTACTTCTCGTATTTAATTCCAAGTTGATGTTCAATTAGGGGTATGAATGAAATCAGAAAATTTGTTTTAGTATTGTCTCTTTCTTGTATCTAACTTCTATGGAGAATAGTCATCTCTAAGTGGTGTCTATCAATGGTGCTTTCATTCCGTTCATCATGCCTCCACGTCAACATCTGTCCACCGATGTCACACGCCCAAGTATCTGCAAGCAACTCTCCACACTCATCGCTATTTCCACCGCTAATGTCCACCGTCTTGATGCAATTATCACGCAAATGGCCACCGTCAACACCCTCATCGGCCTTCAAACAGGAACGATGGCCAAACTGATCCCACCTCCACCTGCACTTCCACCACCGAATCAACAACCAAGGCCGCCGTTGACATCACTAGCACCGTCTCCGCCACCGTGATTGCCAAAAACAACGCTATCCATACCGCCACTGCCACCGCGACAACGATCGTTATCATCACCGCCACCGCCGCCTCCAAAACCATTGTCATTGCTCATGTCAACACAACAACCACTTCCACCGTTACTACAACCGCCACAATCGAATGTAGCATCTAGACAATTCTGACCCGTCACTTTTCAACCGTTCAAACCACAGTTTCCTGTTCACATTGTTGTATGCATCCATATGCATATGCAGGACCACTACAACAATCGAACCCTGTGGAGACGACAAATTCAGACCCTATGGAGACAACGAGTCGTCGGCATAGGGTATGGCGACAACAAGTCGTCAGGAAAGAGTTGTCGGCACAGGTGTGTTGGCATAGGTCTGTTAGGTCGTCGGTATAGACGTGGTCGGTATATCTAGCTCTATTGCGACTACATGTCGTCGGTACAGATTTTGTCAACGGTATTTTCGGGGGGAAAAATAAAGTTTTATTAAAATCCTTTGGCGTCGACTAGTCGTCGGGACAGCTATAGCGACGACTAGTCGTCGGGACAAGTTGAAGCTATTACGACGTCATGTTGTCGCTATAGGGTTTTATCAGTTAACGGTTATCGAATCGAAAACCACGAAGAAGCTACGCCGCTCCGTCGCCGATAGTCTTTCCTTCGCCGGCAGGTTCACCGTCTCTGGCCGGCCGCCCTTCTTAAGCAGGGACGATCTCCCCTACTGCACAGTCGATTCCATCAGGTAACCCCATATTCTTCCAATTTCTTGGACGTAGTTTTTTATAACATGTCTCGTTGTTTTCTGTAACATATTCTCTTTGATTGCTTGGATATTTTGCATGCCATGAAAGTAATTTCTGAATACTTCAAACATAGATGTGAAACTTCAAAAATTGTTGTGTATAATTCAAAAAAGGTTGCTAAAATCTCCTACTATTTCTAAAAATAGATGGGGAAGATGATGAAAAAACTAGCAATATTCATGATAATTTTTCAGGAGGAAAAAACGGAAGGGTAAGGGTATAAGGGGAAGGGTATAATGGGAATTTGGGGTCATCAAAAGGCTAATTAGCTATGTTTCAGTGATTATTTTCTGTAATCATTTTCTGATTTGCTGTTCTATGTATATAGTTGATTTTGTGTGATTGTGACATAGTGAATATATTTTTTACATTGCTTTTATTGCATTAAAAGGTCATGATTCATCTATATGCAAATAAATACCAGTGTATATGTATATTTGTATATTTACTTTTACAGGGAAAATATTGGTTTAATTCAATCCATTGGCTAAATAAGTAAGATTTTTTTCATGCCAATGGAATAAACCATTCCATTCTTTCCCTTACTCCATAAAAACCTACAATCTATAAAAAAATATGTATAAAAACAATATAGCATTGTACTTCCTGTTATAGCATCTTACTTTCACTTCTATTTCGATCATTTCAGGTTAGAAGTAGGTTTCTACTTTTATATATATTTTCAGGTTGAAAATAGATTGCCATTTGTTGATATATATTTTTAGGTTGTTATTTGCTAATATATATTTTCAACTCAAATGTATAGTACTTTAGTTGAATGACATTACTTGGAGTTTATATATGTATAAACTTAGTTATTGTTGCTTTTAATTGTTTGAACATTTTTTTCAAGTTGAAAGTATGTTTCTAGTATTAATAATTTATGTTTTTTTTTTTTTCAAGTTGAAAGTATGTTGCCTTTTATTGGATATATGGTTTCATGTTTAATTATGTGTAAACTTAATTATTGTTGTTTTATTGGATATATTGTTTCATGTTTATTGGATATATAGTTTCAAGTTTAATTATGTTTAAACTTAATTATTGTTGTGTTGTAGGTTTTTGTTGACCGTATCCGTGAGGAGATAAAGGATGAGTTTCGGGCAGAACGTGATGAAATTGAGGGCCAAAAACAAGAAATTACCAAGATTTATAATGACATCCTAAAACTCACCGAAGGAAGTAACCTACCCAACTAATTAGACCTTGACACTTGATTTTTGTGATTTGGTTTCGATACTTTGAAATCAGCTTAGATTTTGTGACTTGGTTTCGATACTTTGAAATCGATTTAGAATGACACTTGATTTTTGTGATGTTTTTTGATTTTTTGAAATCGAATATGAATCTTTATTATGGTAGTTGAATATGAATCTTTAAATTAGTAGTTGAATTTTAATTTCTTTTATATAAAAATCGCATTTTATTTGTTTAGAAAAACAACTTATAAAAAGCATTAGCGACGGAAATTAGCGACAAGTTGCCAATGGATTTGTCGGGTTCTTTGTTATTGATTAGCGACGGATTTCCAACGCAATACTGACGGTTAATAGCGACGGATTAGCGACGGAATATGAGGTTTGACTGAGCAATGTGTGTCATCGCAAATCCGTCGCTGAGTTCGTCGCTGAGTCCATCGTTGAGTCCGTCGCTGACAATTAGCGACAAGGGTTTTTCGACGGGCAATTCCGTCGCTGAAAGTCCATTTTCTAGTAGTGAATGTATGTAATTTTCTTTCTATTTTATGTTTATGAGTTTTAAACTTTTCCATCATTTTACTTTGTCAATTTGACCATCCAGTATTAACTTTATAAAATGTTACTTCCATCACTTTATTTTTTAAAATTTCGTTTTTATCCCCCGTGGTACATATAATCTGATTTTCCTTAATAACTATATTTTGTTAACTTAATAAAAGATAACTTTTTGCATGCCTATTATTATTTTCCTGTGTCGGTATAAATTCATGTTCGTCAACTTTTCTAAGTAAGTTTAGAATTTTTGTTCTTTAACTTTTTTTTTTTTTTAATGTTCATTTGTTTTTTTTTTATGTATATATCTTTAAGTATAAATTCTAATTTGTGTATGTTTCTACGTAATTTATTATGTTTATTGTTATCTATGTTATTACGTATAAGTCAAATCACATATAATACGTTTTTGATTATTTGAACTCTTGTTCGTTAACATATATATATATATATATATATATATATATATATATATATATATATATATATATATATATATATATATATATTATCTTAGTTATTTTTATATAGATGTCGGTATAAATTCGCGTTTTCTATACGTTTACGAATAAGTTTGATCAAATATAATACGTTTTTATTGGATGGTATAAACCGGAGTTAGTGAGTGGTATCAACTTTATATATTTTCTTACCAACAAATGCAATGATATCTAACTTTTATCAATACAATTGTCAAAATTCAACTTTTGTCAATACCATCGTCTAAATTCAACTTTTAAGTTGAATTTTGATGATAATATTGATAGATGATACATCAAAACGTAACAAAATAAGCACGAACAAAAAAAACAAAAGTGTGATTAAAAGTACTGAATCTTTTAAGTTGAATTTTGATGATTATATTGATAGATGATACATAAAAACGTAATAAATAAGAGCATCCATAATAGTGAGTTTAACGAAAGAGTTGAATGAGGTGGCAAGTTCATGTGTCATTCAATGAATGAAACTCTATCATTGTGAGATGCCATATTGGCATTCAATGGATTTGGAGTTTAATGGTCATTGAACTCTTCAATGGGAAAAAAGAAAGTTATAATCCTTAAATATTTACTATAAATTATATTTTGTAGAACTTTATAGAGTTCAATGCATTGTAGAGAAAATAATAATAAAGTTTTATGAATTTAAGAATGATGATGTGATAATCCATTCAACTCTATACAATTCAATGCATTGTGGACGCCCTAAACACCAACAAAAAAAAATTGCGGCAGATGTTCACCGAACGAGACGTCTTATATGACATCTTAGAATATAAAACAAAACAAATGAATGCGGCACAAGATGTTAAGGATAAGAATAGGTTTCAAAATGTCAAAGCCAATGAAAGCTTGGTCCCAGCTCCTAACCACCCAACCAATCTGCAATAAATCTTCATCTGCATAAATCCTTCCATAAATAGAGGAATATTACCACAATGGTTCTTCATCCTTCTTCCATATAGTTTCTTTCTGAATATATTTTCTTTCTGAAACACGTCAAAATGTCTTCGAAGACTTTCCTTCTTCTTGCACTTGCTCTGGCCACTATTCTTTTCATTAGCTTCGAAATGGCTGCAGCTAAGGACCTGGAGTCCAACAATGACAGTGAGTAAATTTAATGTTCTTAATTAGATGAAATTGGCTTTTTGTACAGGATGTTTCCTTTAAAATTCTATACATGGATTCATGCAATAAAATGTACATTACTGAAATGATGATTAATATATGCAGGTCAAGTAGAAGATGCAAAATATGGTGGTGACGACCGTGGATACAACGGTGGTGGAGGATACAACAACGGTGGTGGAGGTTACAACAATGGTGGTGGAAGATACAACAATGGTGGTGGAAGTTACAACAATGGTGGTGGAAGATACAATAACGGTGGTGGACGATACAATGGTGGCGGCCGTGGAGGAGGATATTGCAGATATGGTTGCTGTGGTGGAGGACGTTACTACAATGGAGGGTGCAGGTGTTGCAGCACTTATGCAGAAGCAATTGCATACACACAAGCTCATGAGGCCCAAACTCACAACTGATATAGCATTTACACTCTATTTCACTATGTGTATGATATACCGGCCTTAGTGCTTATGTTTAATAACTGTGGTTGTATGGTTTTCTGTTGAAGTATGAACTTATTGTTCTATAATGGAAATACTTAAACGCCCATGTATTTTGGAGTGTACTCCGTTGTTTCTATTAAAACATAGCAGAGACTATGTTTAATATATAAATGTGAGTTTTTTAGGTTACTGTTATTTGAATATGAGTTTTAGGTTACAAGACAAAGGAGAACAAAGCAAGAATTTATTATTTATAAGATAAAATATAAACTAAAATAAAAAATAGAAGAAAATGAAAGGATAAAAATTCTTAACAGACCTACATCTATTATAATCAAGCAACACATAAAAAAACGATACAAACACTTTTGAAATACAAATAAAATATGTGAATATGGAAATTAAAATAAGAGAGATAACAAGAGAGAAGATGAAAACGAGAGATGATCGTTTTTATTACAAGAGATCTATCATAGAGGTCATGGCTTTGCAACGTCATACTTCAAGGTTTGTATTTGCGGTCAAATTTTACAATAATATCGGATTAACTCATATATATATATATATATATATATATATATATATATATATATATATATATATATATATATATATATATATATATATATATATGTGGTTCCCTATTTCTCGTAACTTGACGTTGCCGACAAAGTCCTTACATGTTCTAACCTTGGATTTCATATACATATACATATATTACATATCTAGTCCCTATATTTTGCAATAATATTTATACATAACTTTATAATATGTACTAGTTAATGCTCCTGTCGGTTAAATTTAATTTGTTTTAAATTTACCGGAAAAACAATTATGAACACTAGTAGTCAAGAGAACTTCCACCTGTTAACATTCCCACTCAATCTTGACATTGAAGCATGTTATCAACGATCTTCGACAGTTCGACTATTTGCAAATAAACTAATTATTCTTAGAAACTACCATGCATTTAACTCTCCACATACTGTCTTCATTTCCAGCTCAAGTTGATTTCCCATTTATTATCTTTGAGTTTGAGGGGATGCTGGACGTATAAATAGGATTCTGATTATTTCGTTGAATTCAGGACCTGCTTGTAATAAAACAGAGCCTGCCTAATGATACGAGTAGAAGACGGTATTCTAGACCACCCCCATGGCCTGATCCAACATCAATGAAGGTTGACCCAGTCAATTGTTGAACTAGTCTTCCACTCCAAGCATTAACTGCATTAAAATAGCTCGCGCTCACTCATGCATGCATTATTTCCTGATTTATAGAGTAGTGGTACTTCTCGTATTTAATTCCATGTTGACGTTCAATTAAGGGTATGAATGAAATCAGAAAATTTGTTTTAGTATTGTCTCTTTCTTGTACCTAACTTTTCTGGAGAATAGTCATCTCTAAGTGGTGTCTATAAGTGGTGTCTATCAATGGTGCTTTCATTCCATTCATCATGCCTCCACATCAAGATCTGTCCACCAATGTCACACGCCCAAGTATTTGCGAGCAACTCTCCACACTCATCGTTATTTCCACCGCTAATGTCCACCGGCTTGATTCAATTATCACGCAAATGGCCACCGTCAACACCCTCATCGGCCTTCAAACCAGAACGATGGCCAAACTGATCCCACCTCCACCTCCACTTCCACCACCGAATCAACAACCAAGGCCACCGTTAACATCACTAGCACCGTCTCCGCCACCGCAATTGCCAACAACAACGCTATCCACACCGTCACTGCCACAGCAACAATGATCGTTATCGTCACCACCACCGCCGCCTCCAAAATCATTGCCATTGCTCATGTCAACATAACACCCACTACCACCGTTACCACAACCGCCACAATCGAAAGTAACATCTAGCCAATTCCGACCTGTCACTTTTCAACCGTTCAAACCATAGTTTCCCGTTCCCATTGTTGCATGCACCCATATGCGTATGCAGGACCTTGAGGACAAGGTCCATTTGAAAGAAGGAGGAATTGATACGTGTATAAGATGGTATTCTAGACCACCCGCATGGCCTGATCCGACATCAATGAAGGTTGACCCAGCCAATTGTTGAACTAGTCTTCCACGCCAAGCATTAACTGCATTAGAATACATCACGTTCATTCATGCATGCCTTATTTCCTGATTTATAGAGTAGTGGTACTTCTCCTATTTAATTTTTGATGTTCAATCAGGGGTATGAATGAAATCAGAAAAGTTGTTTTAGTATTGTCTCTTTCTTGTATCTAACTTCTATGGAGAATAGCCATCTCTAAGTGGTGTCTATCACCTAACTCTAATAATAAAAAGTAAGAACAGGGGAACAGAGAACAAGAAGATGCAATTGAAGGGTATTTTTGTCCAACTTTCTGTTGGGATTTTATTGAACTGAACAGTAACATCATAAATAACATTTTGTACTTATACGTGTCAGAAACAAATTAAACTAACTAGATGGGTTTATCTCTAAAATGCAAGAAGAAAGGATAATGACAGAAAATTCAAAAAATAAACTAGATAAATTCTTCTAAACTTCTGGATTATTCCAACAATTTTCCCCCTTAATCCAGAAGTGGTAACTTGCTTCACTCCTAGCAAGTCTCTCATCTCTTCAAACTTGGTTCTTGTCATTAACTTGGTAAGAATATCTGCCATATCTGCCAGTTGATTATTGGTGCTCACATGTTCAACTATGACTTCTCAATTCTCAACACATATTCCTATAAAATGGAATCTTGTATTGATATGTTTAGTCCTCCCATGAAACACGGGGTTCTTTTCCAGGTCAAGAGCAGGTTTATTGTCGAGATAAGTACCGGTGGTTTGATGTTGAAATTAGTTATCTCACTAAGTAGCCTTCTGATCCAAATTCCTTAACAGGTTGTTGTGGTAGTTGTCATGAACTCAGCTTCACATGTAGAAAGAGCAACACATAACTGCTTATGTGATGCCCATGTGACTAAGTTTTTATTTAGATAGAATGACAGTCCACCCATGCTTCTTCTATCATTTACATCTCTCGCATAGTCACTATGGTAGTGTTTGTTTTTTGTCTGCAGATCTGCGAGACGTTTTCTGTCTGCGCCGCGTAGACCACGCGCAGACATTAGTCTTCGCAGACTGTTTGTTTTTTTGAAGACTGCAGACCTAAAAATGTCTGCGCGCCCTCTTCTTGGCGTAGATGTGGACCAGAGTCTTCTAACATCTTCAGACATCTTCTAGCTTAAAAAAACATATATATCTTTATTTTTTTTAAGTTTTTTTTTAATTTATATTTTTTCCAACTTTATTAATGATAAACAATATAAAAAAAAAATTACAAAACTTAAAAAAAAACATTTGACGATACAAACATGATATTTTTAACAAATTTATAAATAAAAATTTATTATAATAATAGTCGTTGAAATTGTTTATATAAATATGAAAAAAAAAATCAAAATATATTCTTATATTTTTTTGCCAAAATTTTGTAAAACTTTATTTAATAGAGTATCATCAATTTTTAGAGAAAATATTTATCATACGTTTTTAATAGATTTATTTGAAAAAATCGAAGTTTATTTCCATCTATTTATGTACAAATTCTTTGATCACTAATTATAATGTTTAATTATAACTTTGCAATCAAAGTTGTTGGTTTTTATAAAATATATATATGAATTAATACCATTTTTATTTTTATTTTTTATATAATAATACATAAAAGTTGATCTAGATTCGTTATATATTTATAATAAAGTCGTAAAAATATATAAAAAATTCGTTTTGAAGTTTTAAAAAATCAGTTTATTTAGATTTCAGTTTATTTTAATAGCCCGCAGATGTTAAAAAAACAAACAGTCTTCTTTTTTCAGACTGCAGACGTTTGATCCACCTCTTCTACTGCAGAGGTCTACAGATGTGGTCCGCAGACTGCAGACATTTTGCCTCAGAAAAAACAAACAGCACCTATCTGTGTTGTTGGATTACTGTCTAAGCCCGTAACCATATTTGGTAAGTACTTGACCCGGTTGTGCATGGTCCTTTTGGGTTGCCTTCACCAAAGCAACTGGACTGAAGAAATAATAGAGAAAAAGGTTATTATGATTTATTAATATATTATAAGAATAATATATTAAAGGAGAAATCATATTTGTTTAATTAATATTGGTTAATAATTAATTATGAATTAATTTTGTGATCAAATGTAATTAATTAAACTAGAGGGGCTGAATTGTAATTGTGTGATAGTTGCAAATTAGGGCAATGGATGCCCCAAGGAAGGGGTGGACGAATTCAAGGGGATAAGGCCCTAGAATTCTTCCAAGGATAAGGGTTCTAGACTTATCTTATGGATTGCTTGGTGGACAAGCAAGTAGATAAGGATAAGGACTAAAACCCTAATCTCTACCATATATATATAAAGACCCCTTGGCTAAGGGAAATCGGCCATTTGATCACAAGAAGGCTTAGAGCCGATTTCCTGCTTCTCCATTCTCTCTCTTTTGCCTCTCCATTTGCTTGTGGTGTTTGTGAGCCATTAGAGGTACTACACTTGTGGTACTTGCTTTCCAAGATAAAGAGATTGAAGATTTATGTTGTTATTACAATATAACAACAAGAGGTATGTAATCATATTTACTATACAGATTCGAAATACCTAGGTGTATGCTAGGGTTCTTCTTGTGTTCATAAAGTTGTGTATCTAATAGAGAAAACATATATCCAAATCTAGGGTTGTATGCACACATAAGATTCTTTGTATATCATGTGTAACCTGTAAAAATGTCTTCACCACTACCTCTTGCATAAACCAAGCCATAATCTATAGTCCCTTTCACATATCTTAAGATATGTTTCACAGCCATCAAGTGTTGAACTTTTTGGAGAAAGCATGTTTAGACAAGAAGATAGAACGAAGATTACATGATGCCAAAACGTAAGTCTTTTTATTAATTATTCAACAACTTGTTCACAGTGCAAAGATACATACATACATATATATATATACATACATATATATATATATATATATATATATATATATATATATATATATATATATATATATATATATATATATATAATATAAATGAACGGTTATATCCTTTCAAAGCATCAATTCTTTTTTAACTTCTATACCCGACAACTTATAACTACTACCAATTCATACCTATATTAACTTTAATTAATATTAATAATTAAGTCTAGCTTAATTTTTAACAGAACTATCGGTCTCTCCATGAACCTACTTAGCAACCCGACAACATAGGAGATGTCGGGTCGGGTATGGATTAAATACCTCAGTGCACCAACTACACTCATGTATTCAATAGCATCTCCATGACTTCCATCCTCTTCATTAGTTAGTTCTAGCTTGGGCTCCATGGGGTACTTACATGTATTGCAATCCATCATTCCGGTTTTCTTAAGTATTGTCTTAGCATAGGCTTCTTGTTTCAATGAGATTCCACCTTCGTGTTGATGTACTTCAATTCGAAGATAATACAATAACTTTCCCAGATCACTTATCTCGAATTCCTTATTCATCTGATTCTTAAACTTCTTCATCTCTGTATCACAATTTCCTGTGACAATAAGATTGTCAACATACACACCTACAATCAGAAGTTCCCCATATTTATTCATTGTTTAAACAACATACTCTTGCATACATCTTTTGAACCCAAGCTGTTTGAGATACCTATCCAATTTTAGAGCTTGGCGGAGCCTGTAAAGTGCTTTGGACTGTTTATATAACTTGTTTGGCTGATCATGGTTTACAAAGCCCTCCGGTTTGACCACATATACTTCTTGTTCCAGTTCTTCGTATAGAAATGTAGATTTAACATCTAGGTGGTGTACATTCCACCCATTTTTACCCGAAAGTCCAAGTAAAATACATATTTTTTCAATTCATGCCACCGGAGCATATACCTCATCAAAATCTACCCCTGCCTTCTAAACATAACCCTTTTCCACCAACGTGCTTTTGTGCTTTATCACCTTTCCGTTTGGATCCTTCTTTACCTTATAGACCCACTTGAGTCCAATTGGTTTGCGTCCCGGTGGTAGGTCTACAAGTGATCAGGTCTTATTTTTTTTAATTGCATCGAGTTGACACCTCATCGCATCATTCCATTCCTTGTGTTTGGAAGCTAAAGTGTAAGTGGTTGGTTCTTTGCTATCATTCAAGAGTAAGAGTTCTTCACAATCTTCACACAGGTCTTTCAGAGTGCGAAATCTTTTAGGAGCTCCTCCACCTGTGGAACTTGAGGTGGTGCTAGCGGATCCGATTGAGCTCACCGGAGTTAGGGATTTTGGAATGGCAGGTTGTGGACTGGATGGTATAGGTGTTTCTGATGGAATGTCCTCTGTAGTGTTTTCATTTTCATGTGCATACACACAACCACTCTCACGATGCTGGAAGGAGTTGCCTCCTCGACAACCTCCTATGTGGTTATTAGAACTTCTGCCACGTCCTCTTCCTCGACCTTGATTATTGATTGAGTTGGACCGGTTTGAACATCTCAAAGATCTTGACTCATCTTCTCCTTGCTTCTTGGATTTTTCCAGTCATTCTTATCGAGTCAACATGACATTTTTCTCATGTATTTCACTATGAACTTTAATTCTTTTCTTCATGAACTTTTAACCTTCCAACCACCTCCTCCACTGTCATTTGGTCGAGGTCTACAAACTGCTCGATGGTTGATGCAATTTGCAAGCATTTTGATGGCACTACTTGTGGTAGTTTCTTAACCACATACGCTTCCTCAATCTTGTCCCCTAAAGCTCGTATATTGCTTACAATATTGCTCACCTTTGCTGCAAATTCATCCACATTCTCCGACTCCTCCATATTCAAAACCTCGAACTCCGCTTTTAGAGTTTGTACCTTTGCCGTCTGTACACGATCGGCACCCATGTACATGGTTTTTAGCGTTTCCCAAGCTTCCTTTGTTGTTTGCTTATCCGCCAAAGACAACAAAATATCTTCAGGAATGGCTTGGTAGATGACAACCATTGTCATCTTATCTTTCTTGCCACTAACAGGATTCTGAGGGTTCTTAGGCTCAATAGCTTCCCACACTTCTTGAGCTTGCATGAATAGCTTCATCTTGATACGTCGGTCAGCATAATTGCTTCTGGTCAACAGTGGGTAAGTGAGTGAAAATGAGCCATAGTTAGCTTTGATACCAAATGAAGTCAGGACCTGCTTGAAACAAAACAGAGCCTGCTTAACCCTAACAGCAAGAAGTAAGAACAAGGCACCCTAACAGCAAGAAGTAAGAACAGGGGAACAGAGAACAAAGAAGAAGCAATTGAAGGGTATTTTCTTCCAACTTTCTACTGGGATTTTATTAACCGAAAAACTCATAGTAACATCATAAAAACGTTCCTACTTATACTTGAAAGAAACAAATCAAACTAACTAGATGGATTTGTCTCTAAAATGCAGGAAGAAAGGATAATGACAGAAAATTCAAAAAATAAACTAGATAAATTCTTCTAAACTTCTGGTTATTCCAACAATTCTTTCATTTTAGTTTTCCCGTCCTAATTTTATTATGTGAACATTATCACTCGCTTATAAAAGGTTCCTTTATTGTCCTTTGTATTGTAACATAAAACTCACATTAAAATCGATCGAGAACATATGTTTTTGCAATGTTTTTATTGAAATAAACGAGCACACTCACATATACATGGGAGGTGTAACTTTTTATTATAGGACAATAAAAGTGCATCATTTAAAAAGCCATGCTACCAGACTTTTAAACTAAAAAAGCACTAAGGCCTTTATTACACATATACTGAAACAATTTCCAAGTACATGGCTCGATCACATTGCGTAGATCAATTGTGGGTTTGGACCTCATGAGCTTGTTTGTATGCGGTTGCCTCTGTAGAAGTGCTGCAACACCTGCAACCTCCATTGTAATAACGTCCACCACCACAGCAGCCATACCTGCAACGTCCTCGTCCATGGCCGCCACCGTTGTTGTAACCTCCATGTCCACCATTGTAGTATCCACGGTCATCACGACCATACTTGCCATCTTCTAACTCGCCTGTAGCATCATTTCATGCAACGTACATTTTATTCTAATACGTGAAGCAGCATTCTCGGATTTTTGGTATACGAAAACATAATGTAAAGAGAAAAATATTTAAGACGATGAAATTTACTCACTGTCATTGTTGGAAGCCAAGTCCCTAGCTGCAGCCATTTCTGAGGTAATGAGAAGAACAGTGGCCAAAGCAATGACAAGAAGCAGGAATGTCTTTGAAGCCATTTCGAATGGTTCGTTTGAGGAAAATAAAAAGATAGTAGAAGGATGAAGAACCATTGTGGTAAATTTGTGTATTTATAAACGATTTATGTAGATGCATGATGAAGAACCGGTGTTGTTGGTTGGTGAGGAGTTTGGGGATGGCATGGGACCAATCTTTCTTTGGCCCTGACATATAATTTCGGGGCCATTCTTATCCTAAACATCTTCTACGATATAATCCACAGTCATTCTATTCTTTTTTATTTTTGTATCTATTTATTTCTGCCTAAATCAGTTTCTAGTTTTTTCGTTTTCGGCGTTAAGACTTAATTGGTATTTTTTAGTTGATGTCATATATTTTCATTCTTTATGATTTTCTGAACGTGAAATGTACATTGAATTTTGAACCAAATTTAATTATTGTTCAAACTTATCCTCTGGAACTGGCCATGTGGTGGCATTTAACATCAGGCATGGTTTTAGTTATTAAAAATACCATCCATACCTTTGTTAATTGTCTCTTTGCCCGACATACACCTCATGATGGTATGGTATGTGAATCTTAATATAGAATCTATTTTTTCATTATGATTTTCAAATTGAATTTTGATAATTGTATTAATAAAATTAAATATGATAGATAATATATAAAATCGGTACCGACTAATTCTAATATATACATTCGAATGAAAACGATTATATGATCAAATTCATAATTAAAAAACGTACATAAAAATAAACACTATAAAAAAACTGGAATTTATACCGACTAAGTAATTATTTTTTCTTGGTCCGGAATGCCTATTCCGAACTAAGTAATTATTTTTGGTCATTTTTATTATGTTTTTCAAATACACAATAGAAGTGATTGGATTACTTAATTTCCTTTTTTTAATTATATGTTTTTTCGTGGTTTTCATTTATTATGAAGATGGCTCTTTCATCATGTTTATTTATTTTTCAGGTAAAGTCATGATAAAAAACAATTTTGCCTTTATATTACACATTTATTATTTTTTTAATACAAAAAGTAAACAATCTTTCTACATATAACAACGACATGAGGTTGGATGTGTTTTACATGGCCGCTGTTGCCTTCCTCCCCTAATCCATGTGTTGTGTGTGATAATAACCCTAGCCGATGTTGGATGTGTTTTACATTGCCGCTAGCGCTATTGCCTTCCTCCACTAATCCATGTGCTTTGTGTGGTAATAACCCTAGCCGTTGATAAGGTAATCAAGCAAGTGAGAGTAGATATTTGTTCGTGAATATCTATTAGCAGCAAAATCTTGGCACCGCTAATACACCCCAAAATATTCACGGGGTGAATTTTCCTCCAAACCTTTTAGTGATCGTCGTTTAACTTGTTGCCACTAATGAGTTGTGTCACCGCTAAAAGGTGTCGCTTCTAATGCCTAACTCGTTTAGACCAGTTCTCCACATCTTTTCCATATTACAAACATTGTTTTTCTTGACATCTCGATGTTGGAATTCAATATTCCAAAGACCATCGTTTTCCTTCTAGCCTGCTATTGGTGACCACCGTCAACGTTACAATCCTTTCAAAAATATCATAAGTGTAACGTCCATGAATTTGGACTAGATGTTTCAAGGATTTATAAATTATATTTATATTGCGTAAATGTTTTATGGACAAATATTATGAGCGTATAATATTTGAATAAACCGTTATTGTTATAAAATTAACGAATTACATCACATAAACGTCTAAAAATAAAAAGACTACATAGGATAAATAGTCTAGATGAAAGTTGTAGAAGATGTGATGAGGATTTTGTGAGTATAAAGAACACTCAAATATGATTATGTATTAAAAAGTTATGATTATTTGAAGTTTCACATTCAGTCCTATATAACAAAGTACGTTGTAAAATATGAATCGGAGATAGATTGCTTATTAGCCTAAGTAATCTAAACAAAAGTCGTATTAATCGTAAACGAAAGTGCAATATAACGAATGCCTAAATCTGACTTCGTATGGGGAAGTAATGATTTTTTGAAGTTTCAGTTCAGCAGTGTGCGACACAGAAATCGAAATTAAAACTAGTTGAGTGTTAGCCAAAACAATGCAAACGGGAGTTGAAGAGATCCTAAATACTGTTAAATTTAAGATAGGATAGACGGCGAAGTCGAAATTAAAGTTGTATCATTTGTGAATAGCCACGCATGCTGTAACAACGTAAATCTTTAAAACAAAATTTTCATTCAAGATCATATAATTCTCATAACACATTTATAAAAATCTCATTTATTTAATTTACAAGCGCAACTCCTTGTTTGTTTGATTACAAATCTAGGATCCCCGAAACATAACTCTTTCGTTGGTGTGTACAATCAAGCCGGTGCCTTCCCGCTATCCTGAGGAAAAACTTGAAACATAGAACACATAACACGGTAAGCATGAAGCTTAGTGAGTTCCCCAAAATACCACATACAACACGTACGCCACTCGAGGCTACAACATGACCCTCCGGTCGATGTGTCTCAGCGGGACCCTCCAGTCCCGTAGCTCGTTGGACGCTCTGGTCCGGTCTGTATCGTTGGACCCTTCAGTCCGGTCGATATCATTGGACCCTTCGATCTGGTCTATATCGTTGGACCCTCCGGTCTGGTCTGTACAAAACATAGCATACATATATCACAATGCACATAATCTCAGACATACACATATCACACAAGACCCTTCGATCTACACATAGTTACCACTCTAGGTAATGTATAGTGAAACTACTCACCTCGGGAAATCTCAAACAGTCTTGAACTCGGAATATTGATCTAGCCTCCGCCTAATCACATAAATAAATTACTTTAATTAAATAATGCCTCACAAAGGCTACATAAGTCTCTCACTATAATCTCTAGAAGGCTAAAAGAACATTTTGCCCCTCTACTGCTCCAAAGGTCCACTAGTTGACTAAACCCAAAAGTTAACTGAAGTCAACAGTCCACTCTGACCAGACTCGTCGAGTTCATGCGACGGCTCAGCGATTCCATACGCGTACTTAAATTCCTCTTAAGGTCTCACTCGACTCACTGAGCCACTCACCCAACTCGTCGGGTCACCAATGGTCACGAGTCGCAGGGCAACCCGATCCGACTTGTAACCTCCTCCTTTTTTGCATAATCACACTTATAAGCTCAAGATAGCTCTCCCTCTCACTCTACACGATCAAGGACTCTTTAGGGTTGTTCTCTGGAAGATATGGCCGCAATTGGGAGGCCATAAGGTCCTTTATATAGGTCTCAAGCCCAAGGAATTAGGGTTTCTGTCCACAACGCTGACTCGACGAGTCAGATACCCGACTCATCAAGTCCATCCATTTGACACGTCCTCAGATCACGACCCAACTCGATGACTTAAGGATCCAACTCGTTGAGTCACCCAATCAAACTCTTGCCTATATAACAAATGGTATACCTCGGATATCGAGATGTTACACATGCATATAAAGACTATTCAAAACCAAGCACTTATGAGAGATAGACAATTTTTATAAGATTGAAAATTATACCCCCCCCCTCAAGACAGGGCGTCACACGCCTTAGGTAAGGGCGCGATGCGCCTCCCCTATAGAGCTGCTATAAATAGTTTCCAAATGCTCCTTATTTCTTCCCACCAAAAAAAAAATCCTTCAACTCTCTCTCTACTTCTGGTCTTTCTGAGGCTTTTTAGAATTCTAGAGATTTATGCTTTAGAAAGGCTTTGAGATACCTAGGATTCCAATGAAAAGAAGCTTTCAGGTCAATATTGTACTCGCGACTTTTAGGTTTTCGCTAGGAATTTATGTAAATTAAGCTATACTTGCTACACTAGGATTGTGTCCCAATGTTTCACAAAATATAGTAGTGTCAAATGAACCTAACCGTATATATATATATATATATATATATATATATATATATATATATATATATATATATATATATATATATATATATATACACACACACATAGATGAGAGAGAGAGAGAGAGAGGTATAAAAAAGTGTTGGATTAGTGTCTAAGTCCATAACTATTTTGGTATGTACTTGACTCGTTGGTGCATGGTCCTTTTGGGTTGCCTTCACCAAAGCAACTTGATAGGATGAATTATGCAGAGAAAGGATTAAATATGATTTATTAATATATTATGAGAATAATATATTAAAGGAGAAATCGTATTGTTTAATTAATATTAGTCAATAATTAATTGGTAATTAGTTTTGTGACTAAAAGAGATTAATTAAATTAAGGGACTGAATTGTAATTATAAGATAATTATAATTTGGGCCATGGATTGCCTTATATTAAGGGTGGACGAATTCTATGGGGGAAGCCCATATGAAATCGTCCAAGGCTTAATTAAAAGGCTCCATGAGTTGCTTAGGGCTTAAGCATCCAAATTAGGGTTTCCTTGTTAGATAACCCTAATAGCCCAACTATATAAAGACCCCTTAAGGCTCAAAAACGTGGCTAATGATCTTTCTAGGGTTTCACACGTTTTTGGGCAGCCTCCAACCTTTCTCCTCTTCATCCTCTTGCTTATGGTGTTTGTGAACCATTAGAGGAGTGACACTTGTGACTCTAAGCATTCCAAAGTCAATTCAAGGAGGAATTGGGATTGTTATTGCTACATAACAATCAAGGTAACACCTTAAACCTAATTATATGCTAATGTCGATTTCATATGCTAGAATTAGGGTTTATAGTCTTGGATTCAAAGCATGTACAATAGAGAAACCTAGATCCAAGCATTAGGGTTTGTATGAGCACATAGGATGTCTTATGACCAAAACCCATCAGTGGTATCAGAGCCTAGGATGGTTTCAATTGTATTGATGCATTGTATATCTGAAAAATTCGATTTTTGGTGTTCTAGAGGCTGGACTCGCCGAGTCCATAGCTGAACTCGCCGAGTCCAGGGTGACTCGACGAGTCCAGGCTTGACTCGACGAGTCAACTCGTCAGATAGTGCTTATCTCGGGATTTCTTGCTGTTTTTATATGGATAGTTACCTTATCATGTTAGATCAATATTAATCCGATTATATGATATATTTGACTATAT